CCCAGACGTTTGGGGCCCCCCACCATTGCTGCTACCATCCTTGGGTTGAGCCTGCCTGCAACGCTGTCTCCGGGGGGCTACCCGCCCCACTGCAGTGGACAACCCCTTTGCTGCTGTCCCAGACCCAGGACCTGCCGACATTGTCACCGTTGCCGCCAGCCCAGCGTCGCCAGGTGGGGTCTCCGTCGGCCCCAGGGCTGGGGCAGGAAGCAACCCAGGGCAAGGGGTAGGGAACCCCCGGGGGGGCGCAGTGGTGGGAACCACCCACCATTACTAGGGCCCTGGGTTGGGGTCTGGAGGAGAGGGAGGGCCTGGACCCCCCTACCCCATCCCCTCAGGGCACAGACTAGGCCTCAGGGCCTGCGAATTGTGCGGGACTAGACCTCAAGGCTGGCGATTGTGCTGAACTCGGCCTCAGGGCTTGCTTTAACCACGTGGAGAAGAGGGCGGGGCTGGGGACCCCGCCACACCCCAATAGGCTGAGATACTACAACAGGCCTTTGGGATGTCACTGCCACACCCACCTCTCCCTTGTAAGGCTGGTGTCCTGACCCTGGTCCGTCTCTTTGGATGTTTGAACACCTTCCCCAGGATCATCCCACTTAATGATAACCAAGTCTGGGGACTGAGCTGGCTGCACAGTAAAGCACCAAAGGCTGCTCCCTAGGCCACACACAGGTTTTTTTTAATTAATTAGTAGACTTTAAGGCCAGAAGGGACCATTAGATCAGTGTTTTTCAACCAGTGGTACGAGTACCCTCAGGAGAGAAGTCTGGGAGGGCGGGGAATATGTCAACACAACTGAAATTTGGAGAAAACCAAATTTTTATTGTAAGTTTTACAGTACTTTATTGTAGCCTGGCGGGTGATGGAATTTTGGGGTGTAAAAAGTACAAAAATAATAAAGTTGTTTAAACAAAGGTGTTGCAATGGTAGAAAAAAATTGTGTGTGTCTGAAAACTGTAGGTACTGGGGGTACTTATAATTTTTTTTAAAGGGATACTTTATTTAAAAAAAGTTGAGAAACACTGCATTAGAGTACCGCATCTGATCCCTGCATATCCCTTCTGTATATTGTAGTCACTAAGTTTTGATCCAAGCACCCACCAGAAAGGCATCTACTCTTCAATAGAAGACATCAAGACATGGAGAATCTATCACCCGCTTTAGTAGTTTGTTCCAGTGTTGAATCATCCTCACTGTGAAATGTGTGGGCCTTATTTCTAAGACGAATTTGTCTGCTTTCACCTTCCATTCACTAGGTCTTTTTCCGCATGTAACACAGCAGGCCTTACCCCCAGGAGCACCTCCTGCTGGGCACTCTAGGAATTAGTTCTTCCTGAAAAGTAAGAGGTGTAACGGCATTGCACAAGAGGATTTTTCTTGCGCAAGAAGGGGCAGTGTAGACGCTCCTTCTTGCACAAGAGCCTCTTCTGAAAAAAATAGTGGCTCATTAGGTATGCAAATGAGGCTCAGCGATAGTCCACGCTTAGCCTCATTTGCATATTACTCACGCAAGAAGCCGTAAGTGTAGACATAGCCTTAGTTCTTAGCTCTTTAGCTCTCTAGTGCCAAGTACCTGCATTTCGTTGAATCTTTTCCAGTTCCGCTGTCTCCTTTTTGAGAGGTGTCTCCGAAAACCAGACAGAGGATTCCAGGGGCAGACGTTTCATGGATTTATATAGTGGCACAATGGAATTTTGTGTCTTATTTTTCTCTACCTCTCTTAATAATCCCTAACACACCAATAGCCTTTGGGATTGCTGCTGTACAAGGAGTAGAATTACCCACAGTGACTCCAAGATCTCTTTCTAGTGTGGTAGTAGCTAATTTAGAGCCCATCATTGTACATATTCAGCTGGGATTATCTTTTTCCAGTGTGTATTAATTTGCACTTCTCAGTGTTGAATTTTATCTGCTATTTTGTTACCCAGCCACCCAGGTTTGTGAGATCCCTTTGTAGCTCTTCACAGTCTGCTTTGGACTTAACATTCTTGAGTATCTTTGTGTCATCTGCAAACTGGGCCGCTTCCCTGGTCACCTGCTTTTCTAGATTATTAGTGACTGCATTGAAAAATACAGGTCCCAGAGCTGTTCTGTCCATAGTATGGGGGGCCCCATGCTGGCAGCCCTAATTAAGAACATAAGAACGGCCATACTGGGTCAGACCTAACGTCCATCTAGCCCAGTATCCTGTCTGCCAACAGTGGCCTATACCAGATGCCCAGAGGGAGGGTTCACAACAGATAATCTTCACATGATTCCTCCCCTATCACCCATCTCCAGAGAAACAGAGACTAGGGACACCATTCCTACGCATCCTGGCTAATAGCCATTGATGGACCTAGCTTCCATGAATCTATCTAGGTCTTTTTTGAACACTGTTAAAGTTCTAGCCTTCACCTCATCCTCTGGCAAGGAGTTCCACAGGTTGACTATGCCCTGAGTGAAGAAAAATTTCCTTTTGTTTGTTTTAAACCCGCTGCCTATTCATTTCATTTGGTGACCCCTAGTTCTTATATTGTGGGAATAAGTAAATAACTTTTCCTTATTCACTTTTTCCATACCGGTCATGATTTTACAGACCTCTATCAAATCCCCCCCTTACTATCCTCTTTTCTAAGATGAAAAGTCCAAGTTTTTTTAATCTCTCTTCATACAGGACCCTGTTTCAAACTTCTAATCATTTTTGTTGCCCTTTTTTGAACCTTTTCCAATGCCAATCTATCTTTTTTGAGATGAGGCGACCACATCTGTACGCAGTATTCAAGATGTGGGCATACCATGGTTTTATATAGAGGCAATAAGACCGTGCAACTTCATGTGTGCACAATGTTGGCTAATGCTGCAACTTCAGCTAGCAGTGGACTCAGTAAATACAAAAGGAATAAGTTTGTTGACAAGCAACACCGCACTAGACTCCAGTGAGTGATGGCTGTCCTAACTTAACACACCAGCTGGTGCATTTGTCCACCTCTAATTCATCCATTCGTGCTGCATGTCAATGGGTATGATCCTATTATTATTGAATAAATCACGGGAGAGCTGAGACCCAGGGGCATTTGTTGCTATACATTTTAATTTACCCTTATGCTATGTCTAGATTGCAGAGGTATCCCAGAAAAGCAATGCCGTATCCAAGGAACGTGTCCGCTTTTCCAAAAAAAATTTGGGAAAAGCGGACACGCTCTTTTACCATCCCTGTAAACCCTGTTCTATGAGGCAGAAGGGATGTGTCGAAAGAGCAGGTTTTTCCAAAATTTGGTACCATGTCTGAAAAGCCTCTTTCAAAAGAAAAGCGGAAAAAGATACGCAAATTGTGGTTTGCAATTTGCATATCTTTTTCCGACTTTTCTTTGTAGTCTAGACGTAGCCTTAGTGGTTAATTTAGATAACTTTAGTCAGCTAGCTGTAAAGCGTCACTGTCCAGTAGAGGGCAGTGATGTACGTGTAGTCCTATACATATCATCCAAACCATGGAGATGCTCCATAGCTCCAGAAGAGGGATTACTTGTCCGTAAGGATCTTATGACATCAGAGGCTGGTCCCCTCAGACTTTCAGCTAATCGTTGCCTTTTGATATTATCTGGGCATTGCCACTCCTCCATCATCTGGACAGCTTGGTCCATCCAAGAATCAAATTCATCCTCTCCAACAGGAATAGGCTGAATCCCAGAGAAAAATCTCAGCTTCCAATATCCAACTCCTTTATAGGAAGGAGGAGTATATTGTTCTATCAGTTGTCCTAAAGCAGTTATCAGACCTTCATGTGTCTGAGGAAGTAGATGTTGGGGTAACAATGGTCTGCACATCTTCCATTGACTTTCCCTCTTCTTGCAGAAAAACATTCAATTTAGCCGCAAAATCAGAGCTCACAACTTGTATGGTCTCCTCCTTTTGAACGTTCCCAGACAGAAACACAGGCCAGGGGCCAACTTCATCCACAATACCAACTTCCACTTCATCCAATACCTACTGCACACTGTGGGTCAAGTTCAGCAGCACTGAAGTGGAGGCAGACACAGATACATTCTTGCTCTAGCTGGGCAGTAGGAGGTACCTGGCTACTAGTGAAGCTGAAGGCTTCCTGAGACAGAGTAGTGCTGGGACGCTCTGGCCGGACCTCAGGGCCTGCGAATACTAGGGCTGAAGTTAGAGCAGGGCTGGGAGGAGTCAGGCAGAGTTGGGGAAGCTCTGGCCAGGCAAGCTCCCAGACTGTGGGGCCTGATGCAAGGCCTCAGGGTACTAAGGCTGCAGAGAAGCAGCCAGTCCACATCCCTTGCCAATGAAGAGTGGCCATTTCAGACTGCAGTCTGCCCCTGAGGCAGCGGCTAGATGAAGACTGTCAGTGGGTCACTGAGACAAGGAAGAGATAGGCGATTGGGAGTTCCCAGAGGGGGAGGGCCCCAAAGTGCAGAGACACCAGCCAGAAGGGGGCGATGTAGCACCAAAGAGTTCATTCCTGGAAGGTACATCTACACAGCAACATTATTTCAGAATAACTTAGTCCGTGTCTACACAGCAGGCAGTTATTTTGAAGTAATGTCAAAATACTGTCAAGCTGGAGGACTTCTTTCTCCGATGCCTGTAACCCTCATTGTACGAGGAGTAAGGGAAGTCTTAGGAAGAGTGC